CCCCCCTCCGTTCCTTGCCTCTAGATCTTACTAGATAGCATAAAGTGGGGGACAGCAGGTGTGTTGCATTGAAGTACGTGTAAAATAATGTACAGTACATTTCTCACAAGGTACATGTAAGGTCAAATTAATTAATGTGAACTGCGCTTATGCATGAGTATTTAATGAAGGAATGACATTTATGTTTTCAACATTCATCAGGTCATAACAACATTGGCTTTCTGGACGCATTCCAGGAATCGCGGTCATCGATTCATGGTAAATGACCTCATGAATGTTGAAAAAAAATCATTCCTTATTCCGATCGAACATAAATTTTAAAAAAAACCAGTTTGTTTCCCCTATTTATACATGGGGGCAATGCAGTAGAGGGTACAGAGTGTTTTCGCAGGAAAATGTAAAACATTCACTGGGGTCCTGGAAACAGCACGACTAAAAAACAAACAAAATACAGTTCCATTTTCCAAATTTAATTTGTAGAATGTATCCAAGTCGTATACTTTTATCGAATACTTTACATACCTTATTTTAGCTTTAAAATCAAGCCTATCATGTTTAATGTTAATTCATATTGGCATAACAAATCTACATCCAGGGCTGTATCACTGCGGACGTGAACCAAGTAAGCCCTGTGCTACGTCATTGAAGTGTATCAATACGCAGTGATGAGGTCACCTGTGATATGCAAAAATGAATGACATTAATGTAAATCTTGCCTCATACTATGGACTGTTTTTGTTACTCCATGCAAGGAGAGTTCCACACAGCTAAACACGTATACTGACTTCGCTGACAGGTGACACAGAGAAATACGCATACTATCTCTGGTAAGCTTGCGGTGATTTACACTCAGTTACTTTTTCATATACAAAGTTTTTGAACCTACTGTTTTCCAAAACATTGATTTCGCTATTTTGTATATATCCCAGTGGTTTACTGTATTACATGGCGGCTATTTATTAGACATGTGTACCACGATTAGAGAGAGAGACACGTGTGGTCGGGTGGTGCACTGGATAACATGACTGGGGTTCGATTTCCCGATCGGACGTGGAAAGCTATGGGGCACCTGCCCGATCGCGCAGGGCTTGTTTCCTCCAACATTGAGCCCCATACCAACCAGGCAAGCAAGAATGATTAACATAAGTGATATGGCATGTTTCATAACATACACTGTGAATTCTTCTTCAATACTACTGTTGAGGTAACTATGTGCTTTAGATACCTTAACCAATGTGTGATTTGTGCGAGTCTTACATTGTACATCTACAATTGATAAGTGATATAGTGTGCGTAATTTTACAAGTGTCAGTATGAATCTATAAAACACCTGACCAAGACTTGATAGTTCTATACACTATCTCAGGAGTTCTTTTCGTTTTTTATACTCGCAGCTCGTTATTTAACAGTTAAAGGGCCGCCCCATGTGGTCGGAAATTCGATATTAATGTGTTTTACTTTTGTATTGAATGGAATCGAAATACATGGTAAATTATAAAATCCTTTTAATAACACACATAGTGCCTCGCGGTATATAACCGAGGTTTTAACCATCGTCAGGTGTAATAACTATTGAACAAAATTCCAGTGAAACAGGATAATGAAAGCTTGTATAGTGTTTGTGTTCCGTTATATAGATTTGTAATCGTGATATGTGTACAGGACACACAGAGATAGAAGTAAATATGTAGATTTTGAAAAGTTCATACAGGAAGTTTATTAGAAGCTAATAATTAAAAGTAATTCTGTGTGAGTCGTCTTTCTCCAGTACTGTATAATATAAAAACCTACATAAACATAAAGTCCAAACATATAAACGTTTACGCAGTATACACGTGGCATCTGTTTTAGTTATATTCTATAGAATGTTAAATAAACAGTAAAAAATGATTTAAAATGTAGATTCATATTGAACTATGTGACACTTGTAAAACTACGCACACTCTTTCACTTATCAACTGTAGATGTAAGAGCTATCTAAAGTACATAGTTATCTTAACAGTAGTATTGAAGAAGATTCCACCCTGTATGTTCCAACAGAGTACCTGTTATCAGTATATGTTTCTTTGTGCAATGTACAACCTGCAACCTGGCAGTAACACACAGTGCAACTACAGGAAGTGTTTTGTGTACAAACTGATCATAAATCACGTACGCTGAGATGTATTTCGTAGTTAACGTATATTGACATCATTTAATAAACATTAATTGACATTATTTAGTATACATAACGTTAACATTGACCTTAGTCAACGTTATATATTGACAAGTATTTCATGTACACATCATATAACAACGTTGAAATTGATTTTCATCTAAGCTGTTAGATCGATTTATTTTTATGGAAGCTTAATACACAACGTTAAACTTAAAATTATTCCTGTATATAAATTACAAGTTCTTATACATTCGATTGCTATGGATTAGACGGGCATCATAACTACATTAATCAGTTCTAAAGGTGTAATCTACATAAGTAAAAAGCACTATGAATAAGTAATACAACTCTTTGTCCGGCCATTGTGTGAGAGGTATAATTTATACCATAGAGGGTATATACGCGTTTATCTTGATCACGATATTCCGGGAAAATTCACGGACGTGTTGCCCCAGAAACCCCCTTATTAAATAAAATTAAAAAATATTTATGTTACAACAATTATGAAACATGTCATATTAATTTATATTAATCAGTCTCGCTGGCCTGGGTGGTATAGGGGCTCAATGTTGAGGAAACAAGAGTACCCAGACAAAACCAACGCGATCGGGCAGGTGACTCCATAACTTTCCACGTCCGATAAAAGGCGAATGCGTAATCCACTGCGCCACCCGACCACACGTGTCTCTCTTGAATCGTGTATATTATAAACAGTCGTCAATACTTCTCTAAACGATTGGGATATACATAATGGTATTTGATATGAACGAAACTATTTGTGGGAAAACATTAGGCTCAAAAGCATTTGTATATATGAAAAACTTAATAAGGTTTGCGTCGGATCTACTCAGTGAGTTTGGCTTTATCGTGTTGTCATACTTCGCATTTGCCATCAATAGATTCTAATTTCAAATAAAAATTGTTTGCGTGTTGAATGACAAATAATTGGTGGAGGAGATATACAGATAAGTACATCAACAAATATTTACGTCAAACATCATTTTTGTACCAATTAGAGCGTCACCACAGGGTACTCGAGCCGGTAAGAAAATGTGTCAATACCACAGGTGACGTTTACCAATCCTTAGGATATTTAATAATAAAGTCTTGTTATCATAAATAAGCAGCTTTCCACTTACATATCCACTGACAGAGGTCTAACGCATGGGATATGTTGGGCTTGCTCAAGTCTGGTGTTTTTCTATAAATTTATTTACATTACGACTCCTAGATTTGGACTAATCTTCGCCCCCACACCCACTCTCAACACACATGGGCATTTATTTACGGGGCGAAGATAAATCATTGAAAGATATGTCTAATTAAATCAAAGATACGTCTAATTAAATTAAAGATACGTCTAATTAAATTAAAGATACGTCTAATTAAATTAAAGATATGTCTAATTAAATTAAAGATACGTCTAATTAAATTAAAGATATGTCTAATTAAATTAAAGATACGTCTAATTGAATTAAAGATATGTCTAATTAAATTAAAGATACGTCTAATTAAATTAAAGATATGTCTAATTAAATTAAAGATACGTCTAATTAAATTAAAGATATGTCTAATTAAATTAAAGATACGTCTAATTGAATTAAAGATATGTCTAATTAAATTAAAGATACGTCTAATTAAATTAAAGATATGTCTAATTAAATTAAAGATACGTCTAATTGAATTAAAGATATGTCTAATTAAATTAAAGATACGTCTAATTGAATTAAAGATATGTCTAATTGAATTAAAGATACGTCTAATTAAATTAAAGATATGTCTAATTAAATTAAAGATGCGTCTAATTAAATTAAAGATATGTCTAATTAAATTAAAGATATGTCTATTACTTTGAAATGTATCTTCATTAAAATTGAAAAAAATCTCTATTAGATCTAAGCTATCTCTATTCCCTCAAACGATATATCTATTACATTACATATGTAACCCCTTTTCGGACATTAGATATTAAGCTGGCTTGCCATTTCCCACTCATGATATAGGATATCCATCAAGCGGTGTGCGAGTCTGATCTTTTTATGAAAGAGTTGATTCCAAAGTGTAAAACTTTTATTTCAAATTTTTATTAAAATTGTTGCAGATGAGAATTGAATCCTAGGGGAAAAACATAATTCTTAATCTATAAACGAAACGCAATCAAAGAGATTATGATGTCCCTCTTCTGATGTTATAACAATAAATACTGGCCAACGCCAAAACTTTGATCATGCTATTCGGGGTTGTCCGTCATAGTGTTTGACCAATCAGGGACAACCATATTATCGTAAAGTCACATACAAAAGTTTGCGTAAACCCATGAATGGTTTTGTCACGGTGTGGTATGGTATATTTTGAAACATGAAGTTCTCCTATATACATTAAACAGGTGTAATGTTTAAAATTATGGTTGTGTAACTGGTTAACAAAACAGTTTGAATCATAATGACTGAATGACATCTTTTCACATCTCTATTACCTCCCTTTACCTGTTGAAGCTCAGGGAATATATCACTGTTCTCTCAGCCTCTTTGATGTATAAAATATCTTTCTGCCTACTATTTAATATATAATGTATAATATGGTTCCCTCTTCATAATTCTTTATCACTATGCATACATATTGGTAAATCTGGAAGGAATATATTTAACCTTTCTGTTTGACAAATCACAACCACATTGTTATCCTCTTTCACGAACATTACAAACATTATATTGGGTTCCTAGGAATTAAAGAACCTTAATCTAAAGGTATTAATTAATCTACGTCATCACCAGGCTAAAATTTCCATACGTGAGCAGCCAGTATGTGTCATTTGGTATTCAGGTAAGGTCAGTTTCCCTGAAAAGGGTATTTTAATTTCATCACCTTGGTGCGGATCTCAGACAAGCTCATTATCTATTCCGTCGTGTACACGGACTTTGTTGAAAAGCCTCCATTTGTGCGACTAACCTGTAAAAGATGGCAAGGTTAACGTAGGTATCGTAATCATCGATACTTCAACTTGTCTAAACTTCTTGAATAAGTAGACTAAGTTAGAATATAAACTTGTCTGCGTTCCGTGCGCGCTGTAGAATTGGGATGCATGTCTGAGCTTACAAAACACCTAAAGCGACAAAAAACAGCGGCTCATTTATGGAAACGTATGCGTGTAATTCGTTGGTGTCATGAGGCTTTATATCATTACTGAACTATGTAAAAGTTAAAGACCTGATGACCTTGTGACATTGGCAAGAATTAAAATTCTTCCTTCTATCATTTTCAGATAACCGGAAGTATGACTAAGCGCGCGCCTGAATGGTACGAGGAGTACCGGAAGGTGAGTGACAAACAGCGAAACTACTTAGACCAGATTCAGGACCTTCGGAGGACTTTCAAGAGTAGCGCAAAGCCCCTGATGGTTTCTATAGAGCGACAAAGACACCTCAGGGGCCGTAAAGTGGAACCAAAAAACCCGTCATTGCGAAAAATGGAACAAAAAGTGATGTTATTTGGGCCCCAGAAGTTCCCGACCAGACAGAGTTTCCTACAGGACAAACCGCACAAGTTTTACATGACTCCTACCATCCTTCCGCGTACACTGCCCCCGCTGGTTCGGGGGAAGAATGTTGACTTAGACGGAGATCAAATCCGTAAAGATTCCGACTTGGACACTATTGATGCCGTGGCAGAGACAAATAAAGGTGTGGTTCGAGGGAAAATGTCCGACATTTCCGATCTTCAAAAATCTCCCTCGTCCCGGAAAGTGCTCTCTATCAGCCGTGTTAATGTAAAGGAACTCATCTCCCCGATGGTACGGGATTCTCCGATTGAATATATTACAAACGTCAGCTCCCGGAAAGCGCTAATGTCGGGGCCAAACAAGGAAAAAGAAGATTAACCAACTACTGTTTTGTCAAGTTTATTTCCAATAAAAATATATGACATGACATTGGAAATCTTAGACAAACACAATGAAAGTGTCTGTACAAAACATGTGAGATTCACCATGTTTGTGTTGATATATAAGTGACGTATACGTAAATAGTGCCCCTTCGTCTAAAGTTGGCGCATCCTTCGATAGAACTGTTGCTAGTTATACGATAGTATACACTTACACGGTCATGTAAGTGTTATGTGTAAAGCGTTTCACCTAAGCTGACGGGATTCCTGTTTTGGAAACTAAATAACTAAGTTTTATTGAAATAACAGCGTTCAATTTTAGCATCATTTGTTGTTGAATAGAAATTAATCTTCGTTAAAGTAGTTTCCATTGGTTAGAATAATTTCAACCGTTTTTAAAAGTATCAAGGGTTGAATAAAATGAATTCTAACTTATTTATTAACAAGTGGCTAGTTATTTTATCACTGCGGCAGTATCATGTTGCTGTGGTATCATTTAAAACGATAAAAATTCATTAAGAAAGTCTAATATTTATATTGTAGAATTTCCTGACAAGGTAAGGTGTACCGGGAAACTTCCCCACACTCAAATTTTGGCCCTTCACTGATCATATTTATATTCACCCAGTGTTAATTCCATCCTCGATATCCAGGGGTTACGCTCACTTTCGCTCTCTGCATCCCGGGAATATGTCATAGCAAAATTGAAGGCTCAATGTGCAGCACATTGTGGTAAGACGAGAAGACTAGTTTAGTCCTTTGATGCACATCAAAAGAATCTCGCTGTCCGGCAACGGAACAAAAATGACAGGCTTTGAAGTCGGGCGTCGCTCCTTTGTAATCTTTAAAGGACAAGTATCCGCCTAGTGATTGGTCAGGTGTTTTTTTACCTGACACCAATCAAATAGCTAGCCGCGAGCCTTCAATTTTGCTATGACATATTCCAGGGGTGTAGAAAGCGAAAGTGAGCGTAACCCCTGAATATCGACGATTCCCTGGAATATGTCATAGCAAAATTGTAGGCTCAATGTGCAGCACCTTGTGGATGAGACGAGAAGACTAGTTCGATCCTTTGGTGTACATCAAAAGAATCTCGCGGTCAGCTAACGGTATAAATTGACAGACTTTGAAGTCGGACATCTCTTCTCTGTAATATTCAAAGGACAGGTATCCGCCTAGCGATTGGTCATTTTGTTAACCTGAGACCAATCAAACAGCTATCATCGTGCCTTCAATTTTGCTATAACAGTGCAGAGAGCAAAAGTGAGCGTAACCCCTGGATATCGAGGATGTGCTAATTCCAACCTTCACGTGTAGTGACTAAATACAGTATGCTTTGTATAAATATTTGCCGTTATGATTAAATCCCTCTCATTATCGAGGGTGAAAGGCGTAATTTGAACTGCGGCGGTAATTTCCCAGTGTGTCGTACTTTCATTTCGTTAAGTTTTCTGGTGTTTCTTTCACATTACCGTTCAGACAACTTACGTCGCTTATGAACACATATGTCCTTTGAAATTGTGATAAATAGAATCTTTGATATAATTATATCATGTATTTTCCATCCTGTCGGATGGATGAACACGTATATTTTTACAATCTTTTAACTACCGACCCGGAAGTCATGAAAGTCGCTTAAATCATGTGGCATATTAAAATAGTCAAGTTTAGATAATAAAAAATGTCTTTTTAAGTCTCATCTCTCTTTCCAAATTAATGACAAAATGTTATTTTTTATTATTTATCACAAGTACAGGAAATTGCACTTGAGCACAGAATGTGATTTTAAGAATAAGAACAGATTGAGGAATACGGGCCCTGATGAAGTATAACTTGTGTTTATAACATTCCAGTGATAACTCCACAAGTTTAGTTAACTTTAACCAGTGGTTAGTGAACAATTCACTTATTTGTCACTTTAAACAGTGCTTTCAAAATAAAATACATCCTCTAAACACACCATCTGATCTGTCTGAACGAAGTCATTTTGTTGTATTCAAATTATAAAACGTCACTAACCACTGGTTACCTCTAACGAACTTTTGGACATCCGGGTCCTGTAAGTCTTTAACATGCTATTGAATTGAAATGAAAGTCAACGATTACGTTGAGATTATGAAAAACAATAAGTTAAATTAACGTGCTTTTTTCTACACGTGCTTACACGTTTAAAAAACCGGCATTTATGTTTTTTCGTGAAATCTTGAAACGTGCATTTGCGGTGTTTCCCTTGATTGTGAAGTAATAGAAGTATACTTCGACATAAATTAAGGTCCTACTCTTCAATGAATTTAAACCAATTTCAATATTTGTTCGGGTAATGTTCTCTTTGATGCAATTTCCAAAAAACAACTTAGAGAGGACTTAATGGTTTCCTGTTGAAAGTCCAACACACGTATAGTGTACCAGCATATCTGACCCGCCCTTATGTACAACGTACATTGTACCAGCATATCTGACCCGCCCTTATGTACAAAGTACATTGTACCAGCATATCTGACCCGCCCTTATGTACAAAGTACATTGTACCAGCATATCTGACCCGCCCTTATGTACAAAGTACATTGTACCAGCATATCTGACCCGCCCTTATGTACAAAGTACATTGTACCAGCATATCTGACCCGCCCTTATGTACAAAGTACATTGTACCAGCATATCTGACCCGCCCTTATGTACAAAGTACATTGTACCAGCATATCTGACCCGCCCTTATGTACAAAGTACATTGTACCAGCATATCTGACCCGCCCTTATGTACAAAGTACATTGTACCAGCATATCTGACCCGCCCTTATGTACAAAGTACATTGTACCAGCATATCTGACCCGCCCTTATGTACAAAGTACATTGTACCAGCATATCTGACCCGCCCTTATGTACAAAGTACATTGTACCAGCATATCTGACCCGCCCTTATGTACAAAGTACATTGTACCAGCATATCTGACCCGCCCTTATGTACAAAGTACATTGTACCAGCATATCTGACCCGCCCTTATGTACAAAGTACATTGTACCAGCATATCTGACCCGCCCTTATGTACAAAGTACATTGTACCAGCATATCTGACCCGCCCTTATGTACAAAGTACATTGTACCAGCATATCTGACCCGCCCTTATGTACAAAGTACATTGTACCAGCATATCTGACCCGCCCTTATGTACAAAGTACATTGTACCAGCATATCTGACCCGCCCTTATGTACAAAGTACATTGTACCAGCATATCTGACCCGCCCTTATGTACAAAGTACATTGTACCAGCATATCTGACCCGCCCTTATGTACAAAGTACAATGTACCAGCATTTCTAACCCGCCCTTATGTACAATGTACAATTTACCAGAATTTGTAATACGGCCTTATGTAAACAGTACAATGTACCAGCATTTCTAACCCGCCCTTATGTACAAAATACATTGTTCAGTATTGCTAACCCGTTCCTACGTACATAGTACCAGTATTTCTAACCCGTTTCTACGTACATAGTACCAGTATTTTTAACCCGCCCTTATGTACAAAGTACATTGTACCAGCAATTATAACCCGCCCTTGTGTACAAAGAACATTGTACCTGCATGTTTGACCTGCCCTTATGTACAACGTACATTGTACCAGCATTTCTAGCACGCCTCTACGTACATAGTACCAGTATTTTTACAGTCCCTACAAACCAGGGAATCTAACCCTCGCTTACATATCAGTCAATCTTTACTTAATCAGTGTCAGTCGCTGTAAAGCTGACATTAACGGCCCTATCAATTAATCATAGTGAGATAATCTCGGCTGATAATATTGAATTCACAGTACCATAGTCTATACTGACGTTCACTCAATAACCATTGTAGCATACTACCCCATACTTACAGATTCAGATGGTTCAGATGATTTTATATTCCTGTTTTACAACACATCGGAGAGAACACATAACATATACAGTTTTTTTCAAAATACATTGTAATTCATTGCTATACAGTATGATAGTGAAGCATTACAACATGTTATACATGGACATATGTAATAAACAAACAGTTAACAGTGTCTCTCAACCAAGTACTACTCACGGGTAGCTTTCGACTACCTACTGGTTGCCTTCCTTAGCCCTTACTGAGATCAGTAGGGGGCTTCAGACTAGTCATGCAATTCAGTCATGTGACTCGGGGATTATCCCCAAGACATGTGAATGAATCAGGCTGACATAGGCTGGCGGTAGGTGGTAGCGCCCTCGGTCTTTGTTCAAGTCTGGAATGGTGGCCGCCTCTTTAACCCCTCTCTGGAACCAGCGGGGGTCTTGGTCTAGCACTCCTATGCTGGAAGCCCCAACGAGTGAGATCTTTGGCTCATGTGAGCTCCGACTGGTAACAAGTTTCTATGATGTTCTGAGACTCATTTTCGGAGTACCAGTTTTAGGTGGTCAATTTCTCTGTTCTTGATATCTCCCGATGCGCAGATGATACTGGCCCGGTGGGTGAGGATTCTAATTACACCAAGTTTGTGTTCAAGGGGCTGATGGCTGTCAAACTTGAAGTACTGATCTGTATGGATGGGTTTCCGGTAAACCTTGAAATACAGACTGCCATTGTCAAGTTTTGTGATCTAAGTGTCACGGACAGGGATCTTGTGGTCCTTCATTCGTTCCATAGTGAACTTGATGGCAAGGTAAACGTTAGTCACATGCTCCGAGAAGGCGTCCAACACACACAACTTTGTGATGGCGAGGGTATCGTCCACATAACGGCCCCAGTATCTTGGGCGTTGAATGAAGGTGGAGAGCGCTTTGGATCAAAATGTTCCATAAACAAGTTGTCCACTATAGGGCTCATCGCACTCTTCGCTTGCTGGTAGAATTTCCCCCTGTACACAAAGTAGGTAGTAATGAGGCATATATCGAGGTCTGTGATCTGAGTGGGAGAAACGCAGTCCAGTCGGATAGAGTGGTGTCCTCCGCAATTCTCTTTTTAATGATCCTGATGATCTCGGCTAATGCTAACAGAGTGACGACACATCATAGGACACAACACATTCCTCGGGGAAGCATGATTTCTTCCATCCATATTACTAAATCGGCGCTGTTCTGATATGGTGTTCTGATTTGCTTACTAATGGTGAAAGAACGTTAGCCAAAAAAATGGCTACATTGTAGTTGATTGATCCCCTAGATGCCACTATGGGTCTGAGAGGGACTGTCTCCCTATGTACCTTGGGTAGGCCTTACAGTTTTGGAACATCTGTAGATGTTGGTTATAAGTACCTGTGATGTTCCTAGGTTAACGTGTGGTCTTTCTTTCAACGTTCTAAGATCTTGTCATAATCTGGTACAGTACAGTACTTGGTTGTGGGGCCTTTCCTAAGGCTCTTGTAAGTGTTGGTATCCTAAAGTAGTTCACTTATCTTATCCTTGTACATAGTTTTAGGCGTGATGACAGTAGCCTGTACCTTATCAGCTGGGAGCATCATGGATTTAATTCGTCTTCAAAGAAATTACCAACCGGCTTTTCTCTTTGGAATTATTGGATCTAGGTTTATTTTTGCTTTCTTTAGATTTTAACACATTCTAAATGAGTGGACTCCTCCGACTGTAAGCCGATGTGCTTACATGCTTCCATCCGCGCGTTAATACAAATGATACACTCGTACATTATTCTATCCTGTCCTAATCTGTTTTTATATTCTTAATGCTGTAAATGAAATATAATCTTAACTCTAAATATGAAAGAGTGTTACTGTCAAAGCGCTTGACAAGATTTACAATGTCATCATCAAACAAATAATCACTTGCAATATGAAGAATAAATCACCTT